GACTCGTAACAGACGTGAAGATAGTACCTTATGAAACGGTTGCTACACAACATCGACCACTTATTTGAACGCTAAAGATAGTCCTGCCGAAACCGAAATTCGTCAAAAGCGGGGGTCAGTGAGAATCAAGTAGTGGCGACTGAAGGAGAAAGAAAAAGAATCGGCTGTCTCCTCCCGCATTCCATTGCAGGCGGTAAAGACTGTTGATGAAACTTGGAAGAGTGCTGCCAAAGCGGTAACTTGGCCTGCGCGGTCGGAGCTCGGCATAAACAGCCTGACCGACGAAAGATTGACAAGCAAACATGGTTGTAGACGGATCATGTCAGAGATAGGAGAAGAAAAAGCAATACCACACATTCTCTCTGGAAAAGACAGCTGATAACTGGCTGCGCAATCGGATCGCGAAGAAAAAGGCAAAGAAGGCAGTTGCTTTGGAGATGGCAGCCCGTTTTGCTAAAATGAACGATAAACTCGAGTCTCGCGACGATGAGCGGTTTGTTTACCGACTCATAAAGACCCGCCATCGCCAGACCGAGGATATAGAAAAGTTTTTGCATAAATTACGACAACGGTCACCTTCTGACGGACTGCATACAAGCACTGAAGTGATGGCGGGAGTACTTCGAAAACATTTCGACAGCCGAACCTGCTCATTCCACTAACCCTTGCGCTCCGCCAGTATACGGCCTTCCAGGAGATAACCATTAGGGAGACAATCACGGCTCTGAGGAGTATGAAATCAGGCAACGCAACTGGACCTGACGACCTAGTAGCTGACTTGTGGAAATCGAAATGCTGGAATCCTGCAGAGTGGTTGTCGGACTTCTTCAACCAGATCGTTGCACAGAAAAGAGCTGGCAACAGAGCACGACAATTCCTATCTGGAAAAAAGAAGGGCAGTCCTGGGGACTGCACTTGCTACCGTCCAATTTGCTTGCTCTCGCACAGCATGAAAATCTCTGAGCGAATTGTAGACAGCCGTGTCCGGGATATCGTCGAGCTGACCACGAATCAGTGTGGTTTTGTGTCTGGCTGCAGCACCATTGATGCCATACACTCGCCTTCTACTAGAAAAGCATCGCGAAAAGCGAAGACCGGAACAACTTACCTTACTAGGTATGGAAAGGGCTTTCGATCGCATTCCGCGTGACATTATATGGTACGCCTGACGAAAGCATGGCTTTTTCGAAGAATCCAGTGAGTGCGCATCCTTTTCAGCAGGTCAAAGAGCCGAGTGCAAACGCAGCGGGCACATCGACGGACTCCAAGGCTCTGCGTTATCCCCACTTCTTTTTGTTGTCATCATGGATGCCATTACAAAAGACCTCCAGAAGCCGGCTCCATGGACGCTCCTTCATGTCAATCACGTTAGTGAAGACAAAGCTCGCCAGTGAAGACAAAGCTCGCTCGAGCACCAGGTGCCGACCTGGTCCGACCGTCTGGCTATGTTTGGGCTCAGGTTAAACGTCAAAAAAACTGAGCACTCGACCACTGATTCGAGCGAGCCAGGTTCTATCAGGATCAATGGCGCTGAGCTCACAACAACATTCAAGCAACTTGGATCTGATTGCAGCCTGGTTTTCTAAACGAAATCTTGCGTGAATGCAGCGTGAAGTGACACTCAATGACTGGCGTACCAAGCGATAAGAACATCCCTGAGCGGCTCGAAAAATCTCGAGAGCCGTCGTCCTGCCCGCAGCGTTTTACGGCGCTGAGTGCTGGCCTACAATCAAAGAAGTGTAATAGAAGCCCGTCTCACTGTGAAGGAGACCAAAATGCTGCGCAGGACAGCCGGAATAAGACGCTTAGAGCGTATAACTACAGGGTGCGCCATAAATATGGTAACAAATTTTCAGACAGATGAGTTCCTTGTTTGAAGGGTTCCGCAGTTCTGCACCTTCCTTTATTTTTGCGATATACCTCAGCCCACATATCTTCTTTGGTGCTCCTAATTCGTCAGTTTTGGAAAACGGTGGAACCTCGCAGACATCTACCGACCGTCCCGTCTTTGCGCGCATTTGTTGAGTCCTTCTCCAAAACCGTTACTCGTTTAAACTTTTCTCTCATGACAATCTCTTGAATCGCGATGCGTAGACAGATCAACGACAAACCTCAATATAATCGTCTTGTCTCCCAACGGCCTCTTTTCCGAATACAATTACTTGGGAGGGAGTACGCTGCGGATTCTGCAGAAACACGAAATGAATGACTGTTGGTTTGTTTGTATGCTCTACTACGATGAGAAGAGTCTGCTCTCTAGAAAAGTACGTGCAGTGTCTCCACATAGTATTCGAGAACCTTTTAGGCTCCTCGACGAGAAGAAGTCGGAGAAAAAACAATTGCCGCGCGCTGTGTGCGGGCGGCACGCGCTTCATCGCACATTTTAATGTCTAAAGTCTATTTAGCATGGAAGGAATGTTAAGATCAAAGAGTCTACGTATATTTCACGCCATGGGCACTCATGCTGCTGAGATTAGCCGGATCGCTCTCGTTGCCATTTTCCAGTTTTCACGATTTTAGGGCAAGAAACTCGACCATCTGAGTGATGTTGCAAAGTTTGTTCGAGAATAGTGCAAAATTAAGTAAATATGAACTTCTTTGAAAGGAGCTTTTCCAAATAAGTGCAAGGCTTTTACGGATACGACTTGAAAACAGCGGCGCATTTGCTCACGAATGGGAAAAGATCACTGCTGTCAGCTTCCAATTCTCCTACATGCTCCTTGGACAACAATGTGATGGTCGCTGGATATAGTCCATACTGAAGAACCTGCGCTTCGAAACGCACTACTGTTGCTGCTCCTAGGAAACAATTAAAAAAAGTCCGAGCTGGAGTTTCTCAAGAAGCTGCGTGCCACGTCAATGAGTAGCCGAGGGGTATTCGACCTATTATTAGTACAGAGGAGATGGTTATATGAAATGACCAAAAGTTGAATTTGTAGATGCGATGCATCGTAAATAACTCACATGAACTCACCATGTAATAATGTGAACTGCGGCTTCTACAGCCCAATCCTTTTGTTGCCAACATTGATGGCGCTCCCCGTAATGGTGCCATCAGAGAGCGATTCGGTGTAGCGCCCATTGTCAATAAAATGCGCGAAGCCGGTCTCAGTTGGTATGGTCACGTTCTCCGCGCGGATGATTAGGGTGTTCATAAGATCGGTCTCAACTTTGACGTGTTCAGAAAGCGGTCCAGAGGACGACCAAAGCAGCGATGGCTCGATACGTTGCACGAAGACCTTAAAGCTTTTAACATCCACCCCCGATCAAGCCTTCAATCTGGAGAAGAGGCGTCAACGTGACAGAAAAGCGGTCCCCCGCCTACAAGCGGGATAAACGCTGAGGATTATGAAGAAGAAGAATAGGACAAACGTAGAAGCAGATCCCTTTCCTTATTCGGCTTTGGCTGACTGATCCATCACCGAAAAGTCCGCTGAGACATTTATTGTCTCTGCCACCTTTCAACCTTTCTCGAAGTAATAGGGCATAATGTGGCGTTTATGAAGACGATTTCCTAGACACATTTCTGATAAAGCTAGGACGTCACCCGGAAATAGCGCACAGGATCCCCGCCCAAGTTCTAAGGGCAGTATGCTAGGGCCGTCGAATAGTGAGCGACCTCGGTCAAAGAAGTTAATTTGAATAGGGGCTCTAAATGTGGGCTCACTTACAGGGAAGTTCCGGGAGGTCGCTGATCTTATGAAGAGCAGGGACATCCAAGTCCTATGCCTTCAGGAGACTCGCTGGAAGGAAGCAAAAGCCAGAGAAATTGGAGAGGGTGTCAAATTCCTCTACAACGGAGAAGACACCAACGGAATGGTGTGGCCATAACAGTCAGAGTCCTCAAAAGTCTCTGTCCCCGCCGTCAACAGGATCAGCAGTCGGATCGTGGCTGTGAGGATAGACACGAAGGAGGGGTAGTGGACAACAATATCATGTATGCACCTCAAGCCGGCTGCCCCGTCACTAAAAGGATGAGTTCTGTCTGTGCCTCAGAGAGAAGGTACTAGAAGCTCGACTTCCAAATCCCGATGGGCCGATCCAGCAGACCTGGAGCATCGCTGCGAAGGTCATCCTGCAATGTGCAAAGGAAACGCTGGGGGCAACTCAAGGTGGTCTCCGAGGTGACAAGGAAGCATGGTTCGGGAACGATAAAGTCCAACGTGTTGTGAGGCAGAAGAAATCGGCCTACAAGCGGTGGCATTGGTCAGAAACTCCAGAGGACCTAGCTGCCTACGGAACTTACCAGGAGGCTCGCCAAGACTGCTGTCGCAAAGGCGAAGAACACGGAAATGGATGCCCTGTATAAACAACTCAACAGTCGAGAAGGAGGAAAGTTCGTCTTCCGCCTGGCGAAAGCGCTTCACTGCGCCACTCAGGACATCCTGATAGTGAAGTCTGTCAGGAACAGAGAGGGAACAANAATTCGCCCGTAAGAACGGCTCCCAACTAGAGGCAACGGTTGGCAGTCTGGACAGAGAATGTGGTGCGTAGAGCAATGGGAAAGACGAAAGTTGGGAAAGGAACTGGTCTGGATGGGACAGCGGCAAGGCCCACGATGCTCTACGGCAGCGAGTGTTGGCTCGTGAGTAAAACCCATGAAGGGTAGCTCTATTCCATACAAATGAGAATGCACAGATGGGCCTGCGGCTGGACGCGGCCGGATCGGGTCAGAAGTGAGGACGTCAGGAGGCTATGCAAACAGCCCCAGTACAACTTAAGATGAGAGAGCAGCGCCTGCGATGGTCAGGGCATGTGCTAAGAGGACCACAGAGCCAACCGATAAAGGAAACAATGGAGTTCGAGGCTCAGGGTAAGCGACGACGAGGTCCCCCAAAAAAGAGTTGGTGGGACGTGATAAAAAGGACCTCGCCGAAGCTAAGGAAACGGCAGTGGATGATAATAGATAGAATGAAATGGAGACGGCTGACAAGAACAGCGGATCCTGCGACGGCGCGGGATTTACGCTAGGTAGAAGACGAAGAATTTGTATTGCCTATCAGCGAGACACAAAGCCTAGGCAGCGGTAATCCCACTTTCAAACTAGAATTCGGAGTTCATTCGGCAGAAGTATACTGATTTGAGTGAAGATTCTCTTGATGTTTGTCCGAAACGTCTTTTTCAGAGTTGTGTTTAAAGAGTACAGGCAATGGAAGCATTGAGGCAGAAATCCGTTGAAAAATTGCTGCTGAAATAAGATGTAAATTCTTCAAGTTGTCGTTATTCGATCTGCATTGATTTTCGTTGATGAATCTGAAATCTTCCCTGAAACGTTGCACTGCTTCCCCAACACCNATTGAAGCGACGAGTTCGCATATCCAATTGATACTACTGTCGAGCGAAATTCGGGCCCCCATAACTTTTTAAGGAGAACCATTTTGCAGTTTCAATTTCCATTTTCGTAAACAGCATTCAAAACTCTATCGATTCATCTGGGTCTCCACTCAAAGCTCCAAGATAAGTAGACTACCCCTCCTTGGTGAGAACACTGCTTGAACTGATTTAGGTTTTGCTGACGTGACATCGATTTTGGTCAATTGTCTTTTTCGAATAAACAGCGAGCTTCAATTCGGACGAAAATCAAAGATTTTCACCTTGGCTGTAATGGTTATCCATGGTGTAGCATTCGTTGCACATATGACTGGCAATCTGATCATCACAATTAATCGATTTTCTGTACTCTGCTTGAAGAAAGACGGTGTAAGTGATTCTATGAAAAGTTTAGAAGAAGTAAACCTTTCATTAGTCAATTTGTAAACGCTCGGGCGAGTGGCGATCAACACCAGTTGATTGAAGCTCAGGAATCTCGCTTCTAGGAGTCGTATGGTTCTACAGTTTGCCTCTCCACTGTTCACGCACACTTCTATTTATTTGATTTAGTTTTGGTCACGGAAAAACGTGCGGATCATTATTTGTCTACAGTACGTTTGTGCATTTGCGGCTATATCGCCGGCAATTGGAGCGGATATGGTATACGTTACAAACAGTGATGGATCGTATACTATATTGGGAATAAGCAAAAAAGACGATTTGGTTAGTCGATAGCACTGAACCGTTACAAATTGATAGGAGCGTAATCGAAAAAAGTAGAAGTAAAACTCGGGTTTTCACTTTTTGGGATCTGCAATCATTTTGCAGATGCATCGAATAAGTACTCGTCAGTGTGTGAGGTTAAGTCTAATCCTCCAGAGAAGTATGTGGGCGTCATGAAGTGTACTGGCTAGTTGAAGCGACGGCGCTTCAACATTAGCCGGTGCATACACTCGTGACTGGACCATTGAAATTCAATCCATCTAGAATGAAGTTTTTGGACGTGGCTGAATCCCGCCTCAGGGTGCACCCATGCACTCGACTTCTATTCAGTAAAATCCG